GCGTATTTATATTTTCCGGATCTTTACGGTCCGTGATATAACGGTTCGTACATTTATACTTTCCGGATTTTTACGGTCCGTGATAAAACAGTCCGTACATTTTTATTTTCCGGATTTTTACGGTCCGGAAATATACGGTTTACCACTTTCCGGATTCTTACGGTCCGTGATATTACGGTCCGAATATTTACATTCCGGAATCCTACGGTCCGTACAATTATTTTCCGGGCTTTTACATGCGTCCACCGTTAAATCGGTTCCGTTAACCGACGCCAATTATCCAATTGTATGGCAAAGTTTGAACGATCGCTTCGACAATAAATGTGTCCTTTTAAGTGCACATATGGACGCACTATTTCGAATTTCTCCTATGAAAACCGAATCCCTCGTGGAGTTAAAAACATTTTTTAAATATATTCCAGGAAAATATATCAGCATTAAAAGCACTCGAAGTCGACGATTTCCTAGGTTTTTTTATGTTTTATATTGCATCTCGTATATTATATCCCGTTACTCGCCAAGCATTTGAATTTGAATACCGCGCCGCGGACGTACCTACGTTTGATATGTTGGCAGATTTCGTACAGATTYGTTGCCAAGTGTTACAAAAATTCGTATATAACGTCAAGCACTAATATCGGACACAAAATCCACCTTAAACCAAAAGTATCGCTAGCTACTTCATCGACTACTGAATCACTAAAATGTGTGATGTGTAAATCAACCCATATGTTATACCAGTGTCCAAAATTTATACAGCAAAACGTGAAACTAAGGCACTGTAAAAGGTGGGTATACCAAACCGCCATTTTTCTCCTTTCGATTAGCTTATCAACTAGGTATCAGAATGTATTCACATGTAGTTATTGTAGTTGACTAATGGTGTTTTAAATTTTAATCACATCTTAATAAAATTCGTGAGGCGTGAATTATAGTTTATAATATTCTTTGCTTACAAAATAATATGATGAATTGATGAACAATTAATTACAAATTTATTTTATTTAACTGGCCTAGCAACTCTTTATTATTAATATTTTAATTGTTCGTCATATACGAGTAGGTACTCATATATATATATATATCTTTATATCTTTATACTATAATTTTGGTACCAAAAATATTTGTAAGTGTAGGTCAATTGCAGTTTTAACT